GGAGAACTCGGGCTTACTCCACAGTCCCTCAGCTCTGATTAGGTGAAACTCCTGCTGTAAACCATAATGATAAACTTATGAAAAGCAAGAGGCACAATTATAAAGTAAAGATTATTCTTACTCTGTTGAAAGAGAACTCACAGGGCTGGAGAGAATTCTCAGTTGTTAAGAACGCCTGCTGCTCTTGAAGAAGAATGAAGTTCTCAGCATCTATTTTGGGCAGTTTACAACCATCTATAACTCTAGCTCCTGGGAATCCAATACCCTCTTCTGCCCTCAGTGGGCATCCATGCAAATATGGCATGTATTCAAATTTGCACAGTGTGGGGGAGGGAGGGAGAAGGAGAGAGACATATATACATATATAAACTTAATTAAAAGTCAAAATATTTTTAAAGCAAACACTTGCGCTGATAAGATGGCTTAATGGGTTAAGGTACTTGCTACCAAGTGTTCACTTGAGTTGAATCTTCATTGTCCATATTGTATAAAGAGAGAACTGACTCCCACAAATTGTGTTCTGCCCTCCAAATGCATGTTATGGTGTGTCCAAGTCACACTAACAACAAATAAATTTCAAATAAATATAATTTTTAAATCAAAAACAAAAACAACAAAAAAGTCAGTAAGAAGAAAAGCATAGTGACAATATTTCCCCATGGTAACTGAAGATTATTTACTTTAGGAATTCCCACAATGTATTTTATTACTTTTAAATGAAAGATGACAAAATTAAAAGAAATTGTTGTAGAGAAATAACTTGGAGACTAGCAGCATGTATATTTGAAGCAAACTTTATTGTAATCCTTGTGGTTATTCTCCCACCATGAGGAACAGTGTGTAAGGACATGTTTCCAGTGTAATCCCTTCTATACAAGGTACTCTATAGACTTTTGCTTTTACCCCTGTCTTTACTGGAATCTATATCTGTGGATATATCTCTATTTCTATTATCTATCTATCTGTCTGTCTGTCTATCTATCAATTGATCGGTGTATCACCTATCTCCCTCCTTAGGTATTTCTATAATCATCTATATAGCAGATGTTATTGCTACCATCCCCAGATCCCCTTAGCACTTACCTTTCTACAAAAGGCCAACATTCAGATGTCCAAGCGTCATCATCAGAACTCTTACATGAGGGTGTTCTCTGGAGTTAGGAGCCCAGGAGCCAGCACATGGAACAACCTGGGAATAATTGACTATCAATCTGCACCTCCCTCCTCAGCAGCCCTGGATATAACTAGTGAATTTGTAGATGAATTCTCTTAGTGGGGACAATTGTAGGCATGTCATTACTTGTCCCTCAGAATTCCCAGAACTGAGCCCATTTCCAACCATTGTAACTTATGTGGCAGTTGACTTTATTACTGAATGCTCTCACATCCTCCCCTCCTCCCATTCTTAGGGGGGTCTCCAGGGATTCCTACCCCCAATACACAACTTGTCATCAAATCCTCTAACAGGGGTCTGTCTCTGCAAAAAGTCAAGGAAAGGAGATATTCACCCATATCTTTAGGTCATATGGTAAATAGATTCTGTTTGATACTGGTTGAGCTCAAAATGTGCCAGACTACTAACTAAGTAACCACCTGAGACTCAAAGTATGTGTGTTGTATTATATGTAGTTCTGTGTATAACTTTTTTAAAGAGTGTTCAAATTTTAGAATATTACCAGAGAGCTCTGACAAGGGGGTCAGACATACAACAACTAAGACAAAAAAGGTAGAATTCTGACTTCTAGACTAAGCCATAAAACACTGACATAACCACTGGGTCCAAGTAGCTGAAGGGAAGCCATGAATTCAACAGACTAGGTTTGTTTATTCCACCTTTATCAGCCAGAGCTCTGGGGGAATAGCAGATAAAGACAACTTCAGTCTTGGGGAAATTAAAGGTTTTCTGATAACTACAGCATTCCTTTATGAAATGCAATATCCTGGGCTGGAAAGATGGCTCAATCATTAAAGACTAGGCTCACAACCAAAAGTAGGAATGCAAGATCCTAGTCTGTGGGAATGCTTCACAGGGAGACAAAAACTAAAAAGCAAAAAACTCTAATGTGATGGACCTCTTAAGAGAAACCTTGGTCAGCATGACAGTCATTGGTACTTGTCTTCAAAAGCTCGTTTGCTTAGCAATACTTCGTATCTGGAGTTTCATCAGACACCGCCCTGCTGTTGCCTGCCTTGCCCAACCTTGCTTGTGGCATTTCTGGATCCTGAAATTCCTTCTTTCTGCCGTTGGACCTGAGTTCTGTTCTCTCACCAGCTTAACAGATTAACAGGTGGCTTTGACTATGCTCTGCCACTGTCTCGGATTGTCCACCTGCAGTTGCAGGCAATAAGTACCATACCCTAGCTCATACTGGGTCACAAGGGAAATGATTCCAAACAAGGTAGAAACTAATTTAAAATCATTTCTAGGTTGACTTCCAACTCTTAAGGTTCTATCAGGACTTGCTATCTTGGTTATTACTTTGTCAACTTGACACAGGTTGAGTCTTCTTGGAAAATTGACCCCCATCAAATGGCCTGTAGGCAAGTGTACAGGACCTTTTCTTGATTAATGATTGATGTAGGGAGGCTCAGGCCACTGTGAACTGTGCTGCCCCTGGGAAGATGGTCCTGGATTGCATAAGAAGGAAGGTTAAGCAAGCTATGGAGAACAAGGCTGTAACATTCTTCTATGGCCTCTGATTCAACTTCTACCCCCCAGGCTCCTGCCTTGACTTCCCTTCATGATGAATGGTGATGATGAGTGTAAGCCAAATAAATCCTTTCCTCTATGGATTGCTTTAGATCGAAGTGTTTTATCACAGCAATAGAACCATGACTACACCAAAAGAGGGGCATCACTATGGCAGACTTCTCCATTTTGTTTTAGGTAGCATCGTAGGAATGCTGGGAACCTAAGGCTGGAAAAGCCATACACTCGGGTTTAAATGGGTTGTTCTGTGGAAGCAAGGAATATGAGATTGCTGAGAGAAGTGCAAGCAATGGAGGCCTGGTTTGTGATGTTTTTGTGCCCTGTAGATGCTATCAGAACTGTTTGTGTGATATGTTGGAATTAAGATTTCATGGTTTTGATCATCTGGGCCTGAAGAGTCAGTCATGATAACCAAGAGGCCAGCATCACCAGGACATTGCTTTCCAGTTTTTGTCATCCTTCATTTTTAGACTTGCTTTCCCTTGTTAGATAACATACATTCTCCTTCCTATGTAAAACTCTCAGAAGAGATAGAGCCACTTCCAAGAAAAGGTCCTAATTGGATTTGCTACCTGAGCTCTTCCTCTTGTTCCTCAACCCATGACTGGATTGCTTTTTGCTTAGTCTGAAGACATGCATTTATGCAAACAATGGATCCCTGCTTTAACCCTGCCATGTATGCTTCCCAAGAGTCATATGTGGCAAAAAAGGAGTCATATGTGGCTTCCCACTGGTGTCCCATCGCAGCCATTTATGTCTTACCCATAGTTCTCCAGAATATTTTTTCACAAATAGCTCTGCCTTCTCCAGGCCTCTCGAAACACCAAGTATTGCTTCCACATCTGCAGGATAGGGAACCAGCTGTTTCTTCTATCAAAAGGGTAGCCTACTGCTTCTGATTAAAACATGTGTTCAAAAGACAGAGCTAGGATCTATACGTAGAAACATGGAGTTCTGGACCCCATCAGGATCTTGGAACACATCTTTGGAGTACTGAGCTGGGCAAAGTGTGATGATATAACACAAATCTGCTGTTGTTACTTTACAGCATACCTTATTGGATATCAGCTTAGTCTCTAGGACTCAAGAATTAGAATCCCAAGCCAAAATGGACCAACTCCTACACATGTGCTTGAGCTCTGGGAAGGAACTGGAGTTCCAAGCTTTGTGCCATCAGGGAATGAGACCAAAGCTCTGACAGACCACTTGCTAGATGAGAGTGTGGACACTTCACTTCAATTCTCCAGAATATCCACATGCCAGAAATACTGGGAAGGAAATGTATGCCAAGAACCAGAAGCACAGTGCCTGTTTTGTTCCGGTCCATATGCTGTCTCCCTGTTCTTTTATTTGCTTCCAGGATATTCTCTGTAGAATGTATGGGACAGTTACTCACCCATCACTTATGGTGACTAGACCCCAGCCGTGGCCTCTCCAAAAGTCATCCAAGTGAAGTTTCTGGGCTCTTTCCAGTTGATCCTCATACCTACCATGATGATCTCTGTGTACATCCTTGGACTACAAATATGAACTTTTGTTTTTTGCTTCTCCATCCTTATTTATTATTTTACTTTTCTTTTCCTTGCCATTTGCTTCTCATTCTATGACTTTTTCTGGAACTCTAAGCTTCCATTTAATTTCTTTCTTCATTCTGTTTACCAGACATATTGAAGAATTCTCTAGGGACAGGACCCGTTTCTGGACAGTGTCTTCACCAGCAGCTTGCTCTCACTCACCAGGCTTATATCACAGTCTCAAGTGTGGCCCCCACCCCATCACTGTGATCTCTCCTTGACTATGACATGTCAGTTTTCAAGGGTCTTAGACTAGAAAATATGAATGCCTGATTTATTTGGAAGCCCATATATGATGGCAACATTAAAATTTGGAATTGAGCTTGGCATAGAATAGAAAAAATATTAAGTAGCTGGGAAACTAGCTTCCCCTATAATGTGAGTCAGGTACAGAAAAGTTTGAAGGGCGCAAATAGGACAAAGTGGAGTCCACCTCTCCAGAGTTCCACTGGAGATCCAACTCTTTCTATTCTCTCAAAAGAATAAATGGCAATGGAGGTCGTAGGGTTTGAAATTCTAAGTTTGGATTGCATGTCATCAAAGCCAGACTGTGTTCTATTTTATGACCTATCATGCATATATTGTGTGATTCTTAAAACTTCTTCCTTGGAAATGTGTTCTAGGCAAAAATTAAACTATTGAGATTATTTGTTACATTGGCCTAATTCAGCTATTGCAATGCTTAGAAAGTTCAGAGAAAGAATATACACGTTTAATAAATAGAAAATATTTATTATGATACAGCATCATCAAGATTATTTGACAAAAGGCAGTAACAAGCCAAAGGAAAACACTTTTACAAGAAGCAAAACACCTTGTATAAGCACATACGTTACAGTAAAGATATTTTGCCCTTTAGGTACAGGGTATGTATGTATACATCTCCAATTCTGAACAATTATATGAGCTAATATTCTATTTATTCTGGAAAATTCATAATCATGTTAAGGGTAGGCATTCAGTAGTATTTTAATCAATGTTGAATGTGTTCACCAAATGTCTCAGACCAAACTCCAGAACAAACTCGCCTATTACAGCATTTGAACAGGAAGCATTGACTCATCTATTCTGGCAGAAACCAAAAACAATAACAACAAAAAACATGAATGCACAATCCCATAGTAATAAAGGCCATATGTTGGTGCCTCAAGCTTAAAAGAACATAGGAAACAATGTGGGTTCTCCCACTCTTTTCCTAATTTGAGTCTGTGTCTCTCTATTTAGGCCGGGCAGACCAGGCTGGCCTCAAACTCACAGAGATACACCTGCCTCTGCCTCCCAAGTGCTGGGCTTCAAGAAGTGTTCTACCATGTCCTGTTACCATGCCCTGCTCTGCACCATCCATTTTTTATCATTCTGTTTCTTCACAATGAAAACACAGAGCTTAACATTTCCATTCTTGAGGTCTTTGCAACAAGGATGTTTAAAAATAAATTTTTAAAATGAAAGACAGAAGTCCTCGATAAGGAACTCGCTAAACTGGGCAGTAGAATGTGGAACACTTAAGAAATACAACTCTGACATAGGAGTTGATGTTAAATTCCAAAGAAATGATGCTTTGGGTATTTAGAGATTCTAAGATGATACTTTTTTTTGGCTGAGAAATCAGCAGCTTTGACATGATGAAAGCAAATTAAAATGACTGAACATAAGGCATAAACAAAGGCATTCAAAGGATCAGATTCATCCTACAAATAACGGAAGAAATAAAATAACAAGAACAATCCTTTTCTTTGGGGTTGGAAAAGGCAGGGGTAAGATGATGCAGTTTGATCACATATATGTGGATATTATATAGTAGTAAACACGGGGATCATAAGGAAAATATGCTAAAAAATGCAAAAATAAAACATGTCAAAACCTTTTTTTAAAATGAAGTGTGGTTGACAGAGAGTTGAGACACTCTGAATGGACTTGAGTATCATTACACACTAGAGGACCATGAAACTCAATTATCTGTGGAAAAACTTTTTAAAAATATATCTGAAATACTCTAAGTATTGCCTTTTCAATCTTACATTTTAATAACAATGTGCACAAGTTTATAAAAATGTACTTTTTAGTGTCACTCACTGCTTGGTGACCTTTTTATACAATACACTTTCAAACTATTTCATTAATAACATTCTGGCATCGTAAAATATCTGAAAAATAAATCCCCACCTAGGAGGATTTCCATCCCAGCTGCATGTGAGAAACATCAGGCCACAGACCCAACCTTCAAAGAGACACTGGTGACAGTGATGTAGGGAACGTCACTGGAACATAAAAATATTTATACTATAGCTGAAAGACAATTTCCTAGTTACAGCTAGATTGACATTACATGGCACAAGTTTTATAATCACATGTATACAAGAAACACAGGAAAAGACATTCAGTTGCTAGTTTCAGGGACTCCAGTGACAAGAGGAAAGAATTTAAACCAGTAATTGTTGCTATGAGTACACCATTAGATCCAAAGATAGATTTGTTTCCATAGCACATGGGAGAAAATGTGGCACCACATTATACTTATACTGAATCTCAGAAGTCCAACTGGTTACTATTATTTGCTACAGTAAATGGAAGGTGAATCTTGGCAACGTGGCTTGTCCTCATTTGCCGAAGGGCAACAGAGAACCTGGTTGGCACAGCACAAGAGAGTCCACAAAACATCTGACATCCCTTCATCCTCCTTCCCAAAGTTACCAGTAAACAAGTATGGAATCTACAAAGCTCGCTCTGTTGACCTGGCTCAAAGACCTGTGGGGATCTGCTGTCTTTTCGTTTTCTTCCCCAAAGCACTTCTGTTATAGCTAATGTTGGTGATGATTTTGCTCATACTTTCATTTTCCTAACCAGAGGGAATTGTAGAAATTCAAGGTGTTACTGTGCCTTTATCCCAGGGTGACTGCTGGCTGGCACTGGATCACAGCAGTGAAAAAGGACCCTCATAAGGTCAGTTCCTGGGTCTCCCTTAGTCCAGGAGTCTGCAGGCTCAGCACAGAGAAGGGCTTCAGCGATGGGAACTGTAGTGCCATCAATGTCCCTCCCTACGTCCTGTCCTCTCGGTATCCACTCACCAGGAATGTTGTGAGATGAACGAATGATTCAGTTGGCACCATCACAGGGGCTGCTCCGTTTCTAGCTTCACCAAGAGAATGTGGGCAGATATATGTATGCACGAGTGAGATAAAGAAGAGATTATTTTTGTTGATTTTACTTTTACGTTTTATTATTTTTTTTACCCGATAAAAGTTACATACCATATGGAATTGTGCTTTGTCATAATTCCCTTTCTTCCTAGAGAAGGTTTCTGAATAATTCAAGAGTCATAATCCTGGCCCGGACCACTGTTCACTTGGCATCTTTCCTCTCCCTCTTTTAAGGCAGCCGCTGCATTCTTTATCCTCTACAGACTGTGGTCCTCCACGCCTGTGCTTCTCCCAGCTTTCTACACCTTTCAAGAGGGGTTGGCGTTCCTTGGCATCTCTGGCTTTTCCATGCACGCTTCCTCCCTACAGGGTGGAAGAGCTTTGCTTGTAGTCCCTCAGGATGACAGAGGCGTAGGTCACGTTTGGAGGGGTGCAGAGCACTGACTCAGACACTGGGGAACTGGGCACTGAGCTGCCAGAGGCCACCGAGTCTCGGAAAGGAGAAGGAGGTGTCAGGGCAGGCGAATCTTCAGGGGTTAGCTTGCTGGCTGCAGGCAGGTCCTCCTCCTCTTCCAGTTCGTCTTCCTCCGTGTTCCCTTCGCGCTCGTACACGAACTCCTGCAGGAGCTTGAACCTCTCACTGTCATCATCGTCATCCTCCCCAGGAGGGGAGATGGGCTCCTCTCGGAAGGTGCTCAGCTGCAGGGGCAACATCTGCAGGTGTTGCGGGGGAGGCGGGGGCGGGTACAGCGAGCGCAGCCCGTTCCCTGGTGTCCCCGGGCCTGCCAGCACCGCGTGGAAGTCCGGGATCCCAGCTCCAAAGTTGGTGACCACGCCTTGCAGCTGGTCCATCAGCGATTTGGGCTGCTGAGCGGGTTGCTGAGGGGGCGGCTGTTGCTGCTGCGGAAGAGGAGGAGGCAAGCCCTTGGGAATGACAGAATCAGCCAAGAACAGGGGAGTCTCCTCTGCGGTCAGGTGGGGCGGCAGGGGCGGTGTGGTGGCCACAGGTGGTCCGCGTCTGTGCACCACCATTGAAGGGCTGCTGGGAGGGCTGAAACGAGCCGAAGGGGTGTTGTCCTCTTCCTCCACATTGTAAAGGGTCTTGGTGCTGGCGTCTGAAAAGGTCAGGCTCTTGCCAGAGCCTTGGTAACTTTTAGTGAGGGGTTTGATCACGGCCGTTTGGTTGCAGGCCGTCTCGTTGGTCTTCACGTGCACAGAGAGGCGCTGCCACACATGCTGCCCCTTAGGCGCCTGTCTTCCACCTGGTTCAGACCATGACACAGACTTGCCGTTAGAACTATGAATAAAATAAGAGATGGGTTTATTTACACATGGATCCTGCACGGAGGATGAAATACATCTGAATGCTGTCCACCCCAACGCTGTGCAATACAACTGCAGTGTCCACCTCCCCTGCTCCCTCTTATAGTTAATAAAATACTGGTAACTTCAGCTACAGAAGACTGCCTGTGAAGCAGGAACCAGAACATCCTACTCATGCCAAGATGCTGACCCAAGGAAAGATACCGGTGGGAAAGCCCAGTCTATTGCAAAAACAGCTTATCTCCATTTAGTTATACAACTTCACAAAGCATGCCCTTTACCACCATACATGTGCTGATAATGAGACAGTCCCAATGCAGACAATTAATGAAATGGCTAGCAAGTTAAAATGACCCTTCACTGCATGACTGAATGATTGCCAAATTCTGGAAGAAAAAATTGGAAACATACACATATACACACACACATAAACATACAACCACTTAAGCTTCCCATAGAAAACACAACACAGAGATTTAGTCTTGGGGATGAGTGAAAACCTACATACAACACTACTCTGTGCTTGAGATTTATGAACTAGAAGCATTCAGTTGTCCATTCTGATTTGTATTTCCCATGAACATAGACACGACCTCTGGACAAAGGAGGCAAGACCAGAAAAAAATGTGTGAGTGACTGAAGGGTTTCATAATTTCCCATTTTCTATTTTTAATCTTAGAACACTATTCCTGACTGATGTAATGTACGACTTTTCACACAGAGGTTCAGATTCTCAGCTGCCATTTAGGAGTTTCACACTAAGAATACTCAAACAACAGCACCAAAAAAAGAGAGATTAGGAAAGGCTAACAACACAATGCTCACGGCTTTTCTTAATCCTCTTGACAATTTTGATGCAAACAAGACAAAATTAACATTCTAACAAAGCAGTGGTCTCTAAGACCAAGGACCATGCTTGGATCACTTTCCACTTATCTTTGCTAAATGGGAATTCCGGAACACTGCCATGCTTCCAACCTTCACAGTTGTTATGGTTTTCTTCCTCTTCCTCTTCTTCTTCCTCTTCCTCTTCTTCCTCTTCCTCCTCTTTCTCTTCTTCTTCTTCTTCCTCTTCCTCTTCCTCTTCCTCCTCCTCCTTCTTCTTCTGCTCCTCCCCCTCCCCCTCCTCCTCCCCCTCCCCCTCCCCTTCCTCTTCTTCCTCCTCCTCCTCCTTCTTCTTCTTTTTGGTTTTTTGAGACAGGGTTTCTCTGTATTGTTTTGGAAGCTGTCCTGGAACTCACTCTGTAGACCAGGCTGACCTCGAACTCACAGAGATCCACCCGCCTCTGCCTCCCGAGTGCTGGGATTAAAGGTGTGTGCCACCGACGCCTGGCTTTATGGCTTTCTTCTTAAGTGCCCCTCCAAAGCCAATGTATTGAAAATTTACTTTGCAGACCAGCAGTGTTGAAGGGCAAAGGGACTCTTGAAGGTGATTGGATTTTGCGACTTCTGATCTCATTAAAGGATGAAGACATTTCAGAATCATGCCTTCATGGATAACATGAAGAGGCCTTGCAATGAAAAACAGCCCCTGCCTCTTTGCTTTCTGGCCACTATCAGGTGAGCACATTTGATCTGCCATGTGCTCTTTGTCAAGATGGTTGCACCTTGGCACAAGTTCAGAACTGATAGTGCCAAGTTAACATGTGCTGAAACCTTTGAAGCCATGAGCTAAAATGAGTCATCTCTCCATTCAGTTGACTTTCTCAGATATTTTGCTACAAGAACACAAGGCTAACACATCAACTTCAACCCCCATGAAATCCCAACAAACCAACCAAAGAGAAAGTCACCCTGAGGAAGAAAATGCAAAATGTCCTATGGCAACCACAAGTCTTCTTCGTTTTGAATATTCCAATAGTTCAGATCTTTGAGAGACGCTGATGATTTTCTGTGTATTTTTTAGGAGATGGTGATACCTAGCCATAGCAGTCTATTAATAAAAGCACTGCTAATACCTAAAAGAAGTCATTTCTTCTTCTTACATGTGATTTTTAGAATATTTGTGATAAGGGTAATGTTCAATATTTAAATTTATAACCTTGAAAAGTGAAGTGAACTTAAGAAATTGATATTCATTTTTTTCAGTTTTTTTGAGGCAGGGTTTCTCTGTGACTTTGCAGGCTGTCCTGCAACTAGCTCTTGCAGACCAGGCTGGTCTCAAACTCACACCTGCCTCTGCCTCCCAAGTGCCACCATCGCCTGGTGAGAAATTGATATTAATTTTAAAAACAAATACTGAATATAAAAAGCTCAAAAACAGACATTACAGCTAAAACTATGGCCCCATTGCTTGAGGGGAAAGGTAGTTCCCAGCAAAGCATTGCTTAGTCTCCCCCCAAAACTAGCTGCAAGATATGCTTGCATTCCTGGAAAACCCGGAAATAGTGGCTCTTCTTACTCTAAATCATCAACTGCTTTTATTACTGCCCAGACATCCACCACAGGCCTCATTTTGCACTATACCCAAATATTAACAATCTTGTTGATCAGGAAGGCAGCTATAATCACAATTTAGTTCTATTTTAATTGAAGACAATTTTTGTTCTTGCGATGGGAGATTTTTCACTATCACTGTTAAAATTAGAAGCATTCTTTCCCTTCTGAGTCGTGCTCTAAATTATCTGAAAATTCCTGTTTAATTAGAAAACAGATATCATGCCCCAGGGCATTTGGTGGATACAAATTAGACTAACCTTTCCCAAGGACAAAATAAATTGCTTTGTAAAAATCAGACATAGTGGGGGGAATGCATCATTGCATAGAGATCAAGGCGCAGGTTATTAACTGCTTCTTCAAGATAAGTCACTTCTCATGTGTGGTCCAGAGACAAAATTCAGAGTCTATGGATCTACATGCTCACTTAGCACTGTTTGTAGACTGAATAAGTGAAATTTTATAGAGAACATGTACCACTGTTTTTTTAAATGCTTATGGATGGCATTGTGATTAACTACCATTAAACACAAATGCAACTACATTCTGAGATGCTTTTATTGTGTTCAGGTATTGTAGTCCAGGTAAATATAGACACCAAATCACATAAAGATCCAATCCTGTTTCATGTGAAAGGGGAGCATCCTACCTGAAGAAACTGGAAATTCATTGTTATTAAGAAGAGAAAATTACATAAACTTTAGGGCATTGTGAAAGAATAAATTACATTCAAAATAGAATAGTGCTGTGACATAAAAGGTTTGTTTAAGTTCAGATAACTTTAATGGTTAGGCTTTGGCCACCAGCTTCTTGCTTCTATTGTTTACCTTTTTTAGATTTCTTAATCTTAAAGATCTGGGCATGTAGCTCCCAGAAGGTAGAGTGCCAAGTGTGAAGGAAGCCTCAGGTCTGGCCTCTAGCAGTGCATACGCTCGGTGTGGTGCTACATACCTGAAATCTCAGCTTGAGGCATATGCTAGGTGTGGTGCTACATACCTGAAATCTCAGCTTGAGGAAGTTGAGGCAGGAGAATCAGAAGTTCAAGAGTGATCTTCAGCCACATGGCAAGTCCCAGGTCATTCTGGCTACATGTGATTATGTTTCAAAAACAGGGGGCAGCAACCAAAGCAATCTGACTTACAAAACTCCATATAGCTGTCTCAAAGCCCTCTCTGTTTTAACTTTCAAAGACAGACTCCAGACCCAAAATAACCTCCTTCCTGAAGATAAAACACTGTGAGTCAGGACTAACTTACATCCAGTGGTTAAATATATTTAATGATACTACAATTACAGGAATGGTCAGTGGTGTTACCGACATACCTTGAGCCTCTCTGGTTATCAAACTATAAAATAATGGACCTCGATAACAGTGTTCTGCTAGGATCCCCTCCTTGGAAGTAGAAATGTCTGAAACCCCAGGAACTTTACAACTTGTTAAGCAACCTTGAAGGAGAGACATGGGTCTGAGCCAATGGTGGGCAGAAGCACACTTGGGCCTGATTGATGAGCTCCGCACACCCGCTGCTCTCTATTCAAACTATGCCCTTAAGACAGGACAAGAATATGGACTTGGGCAGTCACTGTATCTCTTTGCCTCACTCAGTGTGGCCACACTGAATACTTGCCCTTCTCTGGCTTTCACTATTAAACTGACTCTCTTTATGGGCTCATCGAGGACTAGTAGATAAGCATGAGTTGTTGGAGACACAGGTTGCAACTCTAATCTAGTGAGAGTAGGAAGGACTACAGGGAGAGGAGATGGGTAGGGAGAAGATGATGCTTCATTTTCCCATACAAAACCTGGCAGGCCTATGGCTGCAATCCTGGAGTGAACAGGTTCAAGTTTTGCTTTGTTCTTCCATCAGGTTAAGTGTCACAACCCCTTAAACAAACAAACAAAAACCCCAATTATCTACAGCATTCTAAAGAATAGCTAGGAGTGGATCATATGAACAGATTGCTGTATAGTTGGCATTCGGAGTGAGCCTGTCTGTTTTGTTTGTTCCTGTAAGTACTGGTTACATCTGCAGAGGACATGCTCTCTGCTCCAGAGATCTCTAAAGTGAGAACAGTGGGCGGGGGCTGGAGAGAGCAGGAGAGATTCCTGCGGAAGTGACTACCTGACAACAAGGCAAGTGCCCTTTGCCAGGCTTCAGAGCTTCAGAGTAGTATCCAGAGAGCCCCAGGAAGACAAAATCTTCACATACAAAAGGGAGGGTCCTGCTTCAGGACATGAGGAGGCAAGCATTTGTTTTCTATAAACCCACAGAAACAACTGACCTGAGAAAGTGGAAACTCACCACTGCAGTCTGACAGCTGGGGAACATAGGACCGAACCAGGCCCTATGTTCATGGGTGTCAGTTGGGAGCTGTATGGTGCCTGTGGCAGTGGAAATGGTATTTATCCCTAGTGCATGAATGGGCTTTGGAAGCTCATTTCCTATGGAGGCATACTCTCAGCCTAGATACATGGAGGAGGGCCTAGACCCTACCCCAAATAATGTGACAAACTTTGATGATCCCCCATGGGAGGCC